GCTCGAGCTGGAATTGGGGGGCCGCGTGGGCGACGCGCCCGCGAGCATCGACGCATCGACGCGACTGCAGCTCTCGGGGGGGCGAATGGGGAGGGGCAAGCCGAACGAAGGGGCAGGGGCACGGGGCGCGCGATTCGCGCGACAACGCGAGTCAGCTCTAAGATTGAGAGCCCCGAAAGCAGCGATGCCAAAACCATCTGGCACTCACGAATCACGATTGTCCCCCATATTCTCTAGTTCCCGTCTAGGGGTCTAACCTCCCCATCCCCCTTGGACCCCCGACTCGCCGTCTCGCCGGGTGAAAGACATGGCCATGGTGTTGTGGAGGTCGAATTGCAGCCGGTGCAACGCGACGTCGCTACCTGACGTCATGGCGTGGTCGCCAAGGTTCAACTGGGTGCTGTTCCACGCCATCTTGGCCGCGTCAACTTCTCGAGGGCTCTGGCCCGGGTGAACGCAAGCGGGGACGCGACTGGCAAGAATTATAATCGGCAAAAGACACGCAAAAGGGCAATCCAAATCTGAATTTACAGACGCGCGCACCGCGATACTCGGCGATCCGACTCGGATGCCTCAGAATTCGCCCAAGCCCACCCCGAGAATCCCCGGCCCCAGTCGATCTAGAACCTTGGATCTAAATGACCATTGAACGGCGGACGGCGGACCGCGGACGCCCCTTCGGCTCGAGCCGCCGAGCCGCCTGCCGCCCGGCGGCCGCCCAAGGCCCAGGGCCCAAGCAGGCGGCTCGAGCCGAGAGGCGGTCAGCGATCCGCCGGCCCCGCCGACGACAGGGCCCCGGCCCCGTGCGTCGCCCGCCCGGCTGGAATCGCCCCTTCAGCCGTTTGTTCTCCAACGTGAGTCGGGCCCGCTTAAGGACTTCCCGCCGGGCCATCGCAACTTCGAAGCGACCCTTCGCGGCCATCGCACCGCGCTTGAGGACTTCCCGCCTGCAAGCTGCGTCGGGGCTGCTGGGGGCCGCGGAGCTGCTGCTGGGGTCCGCCGGTGGCCCCGCCGGCGGTGGAGCTGTTGCTGCGAGGGGGGCCGCCGCTGGAGCTGCTGCGAATGGATGCGCCGCGACGTCCAACGGATCCGCCCTATCCAACGGAGCCGCTGCTGGAATCAACTGATCATCCGCAGTATCCAGCATACCTGCTGAGATATCGAACGCACCTGCTGAGATATCCAACGCATCTGCTGCAATCGTATCCAGCGGATCTGCCATGATCGCCGACGTGTGCGCAAGCAATTCAAGCCAAAGCCGTCGCCCACGCTTTTGGAACATCTGATCGCATAGGAATCTTCCTCAACAGCACTCCGAGGGGGATAGGCGTGCCCGTGCCGACGAGAGGTTGGGGAGGGACAGGACGATAGGACTACAAGGGGGCAGGAGTGTTGGGAGTGTCAGGAATCCTGAGGTCGAAGAGGGTGCGGGCGTTTAGGAGGTTGAGAACCGTAAGCAGATTACGAAGGTCGAGGTCGGGGTTTACGAAGAAGGCACAGCGGAATGCAGAATGCGACTCACGATGACTAGGAGGATAGGTAACCTGATAGGTCGAGGAGTGAGGAGCCGCGGTGGAAGAGGCAAGGGGGCTCGGGGCTCAGGAAAGCGAGGGGCCGATGGGGGGGGCACCAGGGGGCCACTCCCGGAACTTCTCCGTCAGACTGCGGAAAATGATCGAGACCACGGCGCGGCCGAGTGAGCTGGCGGCGCACAGGCACCGGATGCTCTCTTTGATGGCGATCGCGTCGCGGCGCTTCACGGATAGCCGAACCCCGCTGCAGCTGCAGGACCGCCACCGCGGACTCGCCATGGGGGTGCCCCCTCGGGGGGCGCACGATCAAACGTCGGGCCCCGCCAGCGCCCGGCGGCCTCTCGGCCGAGGGCTTCGCGCAGAAAATGGCGGCGACAGGCGACAGGCAAAGGCAGCGCGCGCGATGCAGCCTGCAGCGCCGAACTTCAGCGACGCAATGCACATGCAATGCAAACGTCAATCTAGCATAGCAAATGCAACACATGCAAATACAACGCATACAAGGCGGAAGAACGCGGCAACGCAATGCTCGCCCTCCACGGGTAGCCCGCCGAGTCACTAGCCCAATCTGCCAACCGACCAGCATGCAAAAGGTCGGAGTCCAAGGCTTGCCGGTCGGCGACGCCGACATCGCGATCCGTCGAGGCGCGCGACGGATCGTGATATCGGCTTTGCCGAACTGCACGCCAGGACCTTTCCGGGTTGGTTGCCTGGTTGGTTCTGTTGAGTTGGTTGGTTGGCGGATTGGGTCGTCGCGAACTTGGCGAATTGCGCGCCTCGGCGCATGCGGGTTGTTTGGCTGGTTGGCTGGTTGGTTGGTTGGCGGATCTCTCTCGCCCGCGGCCCTCGCCGCGCCGATCTCAGAAACAGCCCGATTGCCAGCCAACCAACCAGCCGCGAGAGGGGATGGAACAGCGGGCGGCGGAGGGACGTAGAAATGATTCGAAACGGGGTCAGGGGGGAAAGGGGGGTTGGATGGCAGGCGGCGGAGGGCAGGAGGCTGAAGGGCGGAGGGAGTTCGGAGCGTGGAACACACGTTGGCATAGGGGGTGAGGAGGAGGAAAAAGGGGAAAAGGAAGAAGAGGATTCTGAGACTCTGAGATTCTGAATCCTCGCCTCAGTCTCAATCCTCAGCGAGCGTCTGCTGCGTCGCGCTGGGTCGCCGGCTGCAGCGCAAGACCTAGAGCAAATTTCGGCAGCCGCGCTGCATATTTCAAGACGATGCGTCCATTCCATGTCATTCCAGCGTTGCAAAGCGCAGCTGGCATGTTGATCCTCTCACATCCGCAATTATACCCGGCGGTCGTATCCCATTTTTGCATGGTGTATCTCCAGCCCTAACGAGAATGTCTGGCCTCCAAGTTCGATGGCGTACTGATTCGTCTGTTGAATGACTCGTAACATTTTCATCATCGCCACTCCAACGTCAAAGTGCACGTGGTCAGGTCTGCGGAGCACGAGCTTCCGAAAACGCGCAGGGACCAAAAGCGCCACGTTGAAACCAACATCTGGTCTAACTCCTGCGTAGGTATCTCCAGACATCAACGGCGCATACTGTCTGCTGAAACACGGGGCAATGATTAGCTGACGCAACTCCCGACTGTCAACCTCAGGTGCATATTTACTGTTCTTGTAGGTCGGGCTCCAGAACTCGACGCGATATTCAAAACTGTACGTCGTTACCACAAGTGCGTTCGGAGCTCCCCACGACATCGATTCGAAGGCGTTCGATTTGAAGTGACCGGAAGACTTCCAATACCGACACGAAGGATCCTGGGTAGCTGCTGTAGTTCCCCAGTAGGGGCTTCCCCACATGACCAATCCATATGTAATTTTTTCTGAACCACTCGTGAGCTTGTTGAAAGCCCTCAACTCAGATGTTTTATTATCGAATCCAGATATCCCAAAGAATGGTCCTGCTGCGCCGCCGTCGGTTAGTATCTTTGTGTTCCGGCGGGTCTCGTCGTATAGCCTGAATTTGCTAGTGTCCGATTCGTCGTCCGCTGGGACTGGGGTTTGCTCGGCATCTGTGAGAATGAGACATGCGTAAGGATACTTTGCCCACGAGTCCTTATTCACAAGAGACTTGCGAAGATCGAGCGGTTCTGGATTTGGCCCATGCACGTTCGTATCTTCTTCGGCCATTGCCACGTCAGCCACGTCAGGTGGTGGTGAAACTGCGCTGCTCAGATCGATTACTGCGAATGGCAAACAAAATACAAAAATGCATAAGCCAGAAACTGGCTACGGAAGCCGGGCGTGTTGGGGTAGTTTCTTTTCTGGGGGCTACGGATGCAAGGCCCTTGGACGTGTTACTTGGAAATCGTTGCACATCAAATGGGGTAAGGATGGGCCGAAAATGCAAAGATGCAGGGGTCGCCTTGTAGAAGCATCGGGTCCGACATTGGTCCCTCCTCTGGGTGTAGACTGTAATGGGATGTCGTGGGGTACGGGGGTGTTGTTGTGTAGCTAGCTGGTTTGCTGCTGTTTTGGAGATCGTTTTTTGTTTTGACTAACGCGGCCAATGTCGACGAGGATAACGCGGAGGGGAAGTGGGACGACGATGATGACGCCGAGGGTGAAGGATGAGAAGACGGGGGGCAACGACACGCTCTCCAGGGTCTCCGGGAACCAGGAAGAGTTACCGATGGCGCCCAGGATCCCGCCTCCCCCGCGGGCTCCACGCACACTCGCACACACGCACACACCATGCAGCATCCACACACACCACCACCCACATGCACAGCATCCACACACACACACACACACACACACGCACACCACCAACACACACGCACACACACAGACACCCCCCTATACCCCACCTTCCCCATCCATTCCCCTCCCCTGCCCTCCCCCCCTCCCCCCCAACCCCTCCTCTACACCTCTCCCCCCAGCCCCGTTCCCCCTCCCCCCGCCCCCCTTCCCCTTCCCCTTCCCCTCCCCCCCCCTTTCCCCCCCTCCTCACCCCACTATTATTACTACCTCCCCTTCCTCCCCCTCCCCCCTTCTCCCTCCCCCTCTGCCTTCCCCCGCCCCATCCCCCCATGTTAACTTTACTTTTCTGTTAATTACAGACACCCTCAGTTTGCTCATCTTGCGGGGGGATCGACCTGCAGGATCCTGCAAGATCCGGCGCTCTGGCTGACCCCCGTTTGACTTGACCCCTGTTTCAAGGCTCCCGAGACTGCGCAGATCGTTCGATGCCGGCCGATGCCAGGAGCCGGCGGCGTCCAGCCTGGAACGCCCGCGCGGGAGCCGCCGCCGCGCCCGCACGATACGAACCAACCGTGCTGACGCAGGGGGCCGTCTGCCAGAAATCAGCGATACATCGCCGAGAAAAGCCGCCACGGGCCCCCGATGGCGCAACCGAGCGTTCCTGCGCCTGGTTGGGCACCCGAGCCCCCGTCGGCGATGAATGGACGCCGTGGGGTCGATGATGCCCTGGGCCGGTCCCAATTTCGCCGCCCCCAGAAAGAGGGTGAGGTACGAGGGCCCCATGACGCACGGCCCCTGATATGGCGGCGGACGGGCTGGTCTCTGCTCGTCACTCCTCGTGCATCCTTCCATCCCCCTCGCCCATCTTCCTCTTCCTCGGCATTCTCCCGTTCCTGTTCCCGTGTCCCGTCGGCCCCACTCACCCGCGCCCCCATCGCCCGTGCCCCCTCAAGCCCTGCCCCCTGGTCCTCCTTCCTCCTCCTCCTCCTCCTCCTCCTCTTCCTCCTCCTCCTCCTCCTCCTCCTCCTCCTCCTCTTCCCCCTCCTCCTCCACATCATCATCATCATCATCACCACCACCACCATCATCATCACCATCATCATCACCATCATCATCATCATCATCACCATCTTCACCATCATCACCACCACCATCATCATCACCACCACCACCGCCACCACCACCACCATCATCATCATCATCATCACCACCAGCATTCTCATCATCATCATCATCATCATCATCACCATCATCGTATTCACAATCACCATCATCACCATCACCATCAGCAACATCATCTTCATCATAAGCAGCAACATCATCATCATCATCATCATCATCCGCATCATCCTCAGCAGCAACATCATCATCGCCAATATTAGCACCGCCAACATCATCATCATCATCATACTCGTGATCATCACCATCATCATCGTCACCATCATGATCACCATCACCAACACCGTCATCATCATCATAATCATAACCCACATTATCATCAACATCATCATGGTCAGTCGCATCATCATGATTATCACCATCGTCATCATCATCCTCATCAGCACCATCATCACCACCATGTTCATCATCAGCATCACCAATATCATCATCACCATCATCATCGTCATCCTCGCCATCATCATCGCAATCATCATGGCCATCATCACCAGCACAATCATCATCATCATCACAACCATCGGAAACATCATCACCAGCATCATCATCAGTATCATCATCATAATTACCATCACCGTCATCATCATCCTCATCCGAATCATCATGAGCAACATCATCCCCATAATAACTAACCAGCATCATCAGCATCATCATCACCGTCATCATCACGTTCATCACCACCACCATCACCGCCACCATAATCAGCATCGTCATCATCATCATCACCATCATCATCATCATCAATCATAAATCATAAATCCTCCTCCGTTTATTTATCGTCCTCGTCCTCCTCCTGCTCCCCCTCCCCCCTCCTCCTCATCCTCCTGTACATCCTCGTCCTCCTCCTCATCATCATCGTCATCATCATCAGCGCCATCAGCATCATCATCACCAGCAGCAACAACATCATCATCAACATCATCATCAGCATCATATCATCCTCATACTCATCCTCACCATCATCATCATCATCATCATCATCATCATCATCATCATCATCCCCATCCTCCTTTTCCTCCTCGTCCTCCTCTTCCTCCCCCTCCTCCTCGTCCTCCGCCCCCCCCTTCTTCCTCCTCCTCCTCCTCTTCCTCGCCCCCTTTTCCTCCTCCTCCTCGCCCTCGTCCTCGCCCTCCTCATCATATTCGTCTTCGTCCTCGTCCTCATTTTGTTCCTCCTGTCCCTCCTTTCCTTTTCCATATCCACCCCCTCCCCCCTCCCCTGCTACGCCCCCTCCTGATCCCCCCTCTTCCCCCGCGGGGAAAAAAAAAAAGCGGGCCAGCAGCCGCGGCAGGGGGCGCTCATGTCTCGGGTGCAACGCGCACGCAACAGACAGGGGCAAAACGGGCGGCGCCGCGCGACACATCTACAACTTCCGCCACCGCGCGCCCGAGCCCACGCAGCAGGCGAACGGCAAAGAGGCGAGGAGGGAGAGGGAAGAAGGACGAGGAAGCCGGGAGAAGCAGGAAGGCGGAGGAGGTGGGAGCGCGGCGGGGCGTCTGAGCCACCCCACCCAACCCCGAGGCGCTCGCGCGCCCGCCGGAGGCAAGGGGCGGGGCAGGAGGAGGAGGAGAGAGAAGGGGAGGAGCGGGGGCCGGAATGAAAAGCGAAGCAGCGGCGCGGGAGAAGCAGGAACAGGCGGAGGAGGAACGCCGAAAGCGAGGGGGGGCGACGGCGCGACGCGGGCCCCAAGGGCCCACACAGGACCGACGAACAATGGACTAGAAAGGCAAAACATATGGCCTTCCTCATTCGAGCCCGATTTTGCGCGGGACCCGGCAAAACACGAAAAATGACGAACAACACGTTTGCTTACACCTGGGCCGGCCCGCGGCCGGGGCGCGCCGCGCTGGACAGAGCTGGCCACTATGATCATGGCACCCGTGTGGCGTTGCACGTGGGCGCTCAAAGAGCGGAGCAAGCTCTGGAAGAGCTCCAGCTTGTCCCGGCACGCCCGGAGCAGCCAGGCCATGCCACTCACGTTGCCGCCACCGTAGCTCCGCAGCTCTCTATCACGAGGGTCACGACGCTGGCGCCCGGTAAATGTCTCCTCCTCCTCCTCCTCCTCCTCCTCCTCCTCCTCCGCCTCCGCCTCCGCCTCCGCCTCCGCCTCCGCCTCCGCCTCCGCCTCCGCCTCCGCCTCCGCCTCCGCCTCCGCCTCCGCCTCCGCCTCCGCCTCCGCCTACCGCCTCCGCCTCCGCCTCCGCCTCACGCCTCCGCCCCGCCTCGCCACCGCGCTCCGCCCCGCCTCCGCCTCCGCCTCCGACTCCCGCCTCGCCTCCGCCTCCGCCTCCGCCTCCGCCTCCGCCTCCGCCTCCGCCTCCGCCTCCACCTCCGCCCCCACGCCTCCGCCTCCGCCTCCGCCTCCGCCTCCGCCTCGCCTCCGCCTCCGCTTCCGCCTCCGCCATCCGCCCTCGCCTCGCCTCCGCCTATCCGCCTCCACCTACTCCGCCTCCGCCTCCGCCTCCAACCTGCTCCGCCTCCTCCTCCTCCTCCTCCTCCTCCCTCCTCTCCTGCCCACCTTCCACCTCCTCCTCCTCCTCCTCTCCTCCTCCTCCTCCTCCACCTCCTCCGCCTCCTCCCCCTCCCCATCCCCCTCCCCCTCCCCCTCCCCCTCCCCCTCCACCTCCCCTCCTCCCCCTCTCCCCTCTCCCCCTCCACCCCCCAACCCCCTCCCCCTCCCCCTCCCCCTCCCCCTCCCCCTCCCCCTCGCCCCCCCTCCTCCCTCCCCCTCCCCCTCCCCCTCCCCCTCCCCCTCCCCCTCACCCCCCCTCCCCCACCCCCTCACCCCTCCACCCTTCCCCTCCCCCTCCCCCTCTCCCCCTCCCCCCACCCCCCCTCCCCCTCCCCCCCCTCCCCCTCCCCCTCCCCCTCCCCCACCCCCCTCCCCCTCCCCTCACCCCATCCCCCTCCCCCTCCCCCTCCTCCTCCTCCTACTCCTCTCCTCCTCCTCCTCCACCTCCTCCTTCCCTCCTCCTCCTCCTACCTCCTCCTCCTCCTCCTCCTCCTCCTCCTCCTCCTCCTCCTCCTATTATTGCTCCTCCTGCTCCCTCCTCCTCCCTCCTTCCTCCTCCTCCCTACGGCCGCACGGCGCAAGCCCATCAGAACACCACACACGTGACACCCGACGCGGGCAGGGCGTTTCCACGAGATGCACGGCACGGCAAGTCAGCACAGCGTGCGCGGGTCTCGGAGAGACCTCCGACGAGAGGCGAGACAGAGAGCACCCACGAACTTGCGATTGAAAACGATGATGGGCGTGTTTTCCACCATCACCACCATAAGTTGGACGGGGGGGTCCTCCTCCGCCTTCTCCTCCGCCTCCTCCTCCGCCTCCTCCTCCTCCTTTTCGTCCTCCTCCTGCTCGCCCTCCTCCTCCTCCTCCTCCTCCTCCTCCTCCTCCTCCTCCTCCCCCCCAACTTATGGTGATGGTGGTGGAAAACAGGCTCAGCAAACGAGCAAGCAGCCAAGCAGGACAGCCCGGGTCACCGAACTTCGCGCACCGCGCCCCGCGAAGCGCGACGCGCGGATATATTCTTCGCGCCTCGCGCAACCTGCGCTGCCCCCCCCTGGAGGAAGGCGGCCCTTCTGCCCCGGGCAACGACGCGCGAGGCGCGAGCCTCTTCGCGCCACCGCGGAGGACGTCGATCGCAAGGACGGGTGGCTTTCGAGAGGGACTGCTGCTGCCCTGCTGCGCGGCCCGTCCCAGGCCCCAGGCCGTGGGCCGTGCTCCGCCCGCGTCTGGCTTCCACTCGGGCGTCCGAGAGCCTTTCGGCCCTGCCTTGCCGTCGCTCGGACGTCCATTTCCTGTGCTTTGTTCGGTTTCGTGCGTGCTTTTTGTTGCTCGATGGTCCAGGATGGTCCTCGATGCCAAGAAAAAATGCACACGTCCGAGCGATGCCAAGCTACTGCGCACCCTTCTGATCTGGCTGTCCCGTCGCAGCAATCGCCTGCAGTGGCGTGAGGACGTCGGCCCTGGTTTCGGGCACCGCGCGAACCGCCCAACCTCGAGCCGGGTCCCTTCTCGGAGATCCCAAGGGCTGTTGACCCCCACATGTGGTACAGATGTCGCGCCGCAGCTTGTTTTCTGTGGGTCCCAGGACCCGAAACAGACATCGTGGTTCCACCCATGTTCCAATCATGCTACACCTGCCACCTTGCACACGTAGATGCAACATCGCCGAGTCGTCTGGAAACCCCGTACACCCACTGAAAGCAACCCTTGCCTCAATTTAGCAAGTGATGGAAAGTGGGAAATAATGGCCCTGACATAGACTATGCTCACAATGGTTGCTTCTCTGATACGCTGCATACACACTCGTCATGCCGTCGCTTTCCACAAATCTGCCATTACCATGCCAAATGCGCGGTGCAGCCTTGATAGCACATGCCGGACAATCTGTGTATGCTCCCACTTCCCCCACCGTGCCGCGTGCCACTGACTGGAGTGCGCAGAGATCCCATATAATCCTCAAGATGAAATGCTATGACTACGCGAGCGCGCGTTTCGCGCGCGCGGAAGTTCTAGTATCATCCAGAGAGCCTTTCAAACAACCGCAAGGTGGCCAGGGCCCCTCTGGGCGTTTCAGGTTCCTCCGAAATGTTCCTGA